TTCTAATCAAGAAGTATTTTTCATAGAAGATACAAGAAATATTAGTAAGTCCTATAAAATTTTATATTTTATTCTTCAAATACTAAAGGAGTCATAAACTTATTATATAATTAGATATATATGACATTGCAATAGCAACTAACGTTAAGCTATTAATCAACTATATTACGAGATATAACAAATAATACAGGAGGAGGAAAATTACTATAATTGACAAAAGGTATCCACATAATAATTACTTAACAAGCCAGACAAAACATGGGAAATCACTATAGTGGACAAAATATATATCCATGATACTTACTTATCACAGCTTAAGGAAAAAAAAATCAAAATTGATATTTTCTTTTTTACTATATTGTGGCATGCCTCTACGTGTAACTTTATTTAAGAACATGACTATGAACAAAGGATCAAATCTTTACGACATGATCAAATATAAGCTCATAATAGCATTATCGGATTTCATGAACTCTAAATATGAAGATAATATATTTCATTATAAAAATTCTTATTAGAGGCCACTAAACATAAAGTTCATCTTATATCCATCTCAAATTCGCTGGGGACATGTGCACGTTCCATATAACACAATAAATAACAAATATTATATTTTTAAATTAATATGTAGGGCTCATTTAGAACAAGCTATCAAGGGAAAAAATATCTCCATCAAGACTCTTTACAATGCAACGAAAACTTAACTTAGCGATATTATGCAAGCATTACAACATTCAAAAGAGGTATGGTCTTAAAAAACCTACTCCATAATTCACACAATCAAACCTAGTTAAAATTTGCCAATATACAGATACGATATTGCACATTTAAGGCAAAAAAAAACTACCCGTTAAAGTAGACTTGAGTTATGGCTTTACACTTACAAAGGCCGCAACAAAAAGGTAGAAATAGACGTTAATAACGAGTGTCCAAATGATAAATGTTGTAAGATCTCTAATGACTTAAGACATTGCAAATGTAACACTGTTTAATGCAGTAGAAACTCTTATTAGGTGCACAACACAAGAATTCATTGCAAAGAAAAAATAGGTCAATCCTAACTTAACTTAAATAATAAATTAGAAACATAGAAAAATTATCATATATATATAATTAACATTTATTCCATTAACATTTGTTCTCATTCAATTATTTGTAAAGTTACATGAGAAAATAAAAGATAAATAAGCCCAGGAAAAGATAATAGCACGAGGAATTCAGGTCCAGTCTGATGTCACAATTGACGTAGATGATGAAGACACCACTCCAAAATTATCCTAGAAAAAAATTAAAAATGAAAAAGGCTTGATCTCAGCTCATTAAAAAATAAAACAGAAAGAATAAAAGACAATATTTTCTTAATCTTGCATAGAATAGCCTAATTTATTGAGTAAAATTAGGAATATTTGGAAGAGATTTTCACGAAGTTTTCAATATTTTTATATACTTACTTTGTGGACGTTTATCATATAAAATTATAATAGAGTTAGCATTATTATTTAGTTTATGATTTCAATGAAGTCTATCAATGATTAGGAATCAAATCCATATTTTCTTTTGTGTCATTTTATTTACTTCTAACCAATTGTCTAGGCTTATTGGCTTTAATTATTCCTCTTGTTATTATAATGCTATTTTTTCAAGTATTTTTTTTACTTTTGCAACACTATATTTCTATAGATAAAACATCCTTTCATGTCGATCCAAATAACACGAATATTCAAATTGGCTTCACGTTAGTTTTGTGTCAATTCAATTATTAATATGAAACTTAAAATTGGGTGTATCTCATTCAAACAAACATTAAAAAAGATAAATAATCACAATATTAAATTTTAGATGCACAAGTGAGTAAAAACTAGCAAATTGAAATCGAAGAATAAATTTTAGTAAGGAAATAAACTAAAAATAAATAATTATGATATTTAAGCACGTGTAGTGTATGTGCATAAATACTAGTTTAAAAAAAATCATAAGAGTAGAATAAATATCCCCTCCATAAAAAAAATCTATCTTTATATTTTTTTTTATTTTTTTTTGGAGCTGCAATTCTCTTCCACGCTCTTTTTATTCCACCCGTAAAGTCGGGTGGATTCATTCAAGTGATAAACCGATCAAATCAAAATGAACAAGTTTGGGTCAACTCACATTTGCCGACGCTTTATTTGCACGTGAAGCCATGATAACCCTCGCTAATTTTCTGTATTATAAGCAGTTGAGGCCATCACCGAATTGTCAGGACACGTGTCGCAAGATCTGACCACTTGTTTGCCGTACTCAGCAAAACGCGTTGTAATTTGTAATAAATGAACTCGTAACAACGAGCAAATTTCATGTCTTTTTCATAGAAGGAAAAATAAATAAATGATAAATGTATTAAAAAAAGATCATAAATGGGTGACAACTGAAAATAGTGTTAGAATTTTAAATTTCATTTTTTTTTATTTCGGAAATTCGGTCTATGAAAATTATCCATGTTCAAATGAAATGATGAGGTGGGAACAATTTGGCGAATTATTTAATTTTCAAGGTAAATTTTGATCAATTATTCAACTTGTAGAAAATTTGGAGTTTTGTTTTAATACGTAAATTTGTTGTAACTCTAATTTTCATAAAATTTCTATTAGTATAATAATGCCCACGTCATGAACGTGTGAGTTAAACAAATTTTTGTTGCTACACTTTGTGAAAATCGAATTGAACATGATTTGCTTGGGAGAGTTATGTTTAAACATTTCAGTTGAATTGATGGCTATATGAGAATCTCCTATAGTTCTTCATCTATAAATAATGTTTTTTTTTTCTTTTCTTGAGGTAATTTTGCTTTGTCCATCTCAACGCTTTCGTTTAAAGAAAAACAAATGTTTGAATGAAGATTTTGTTATCAGAGACCAAAAGTCACATCTATTACTGTCATCTATTACAAAATAAGTTTTATAATTGCTTATTTTTATTGTCATCTATTACAATTACTGTCATGGCTTTCACCTTTAAACTTTTAAGAAATTAGATTCCAGCCTTTGTAACTCCATTTCTTAATACTGAAGCCACCCATGATCCAATCTTTACTGCCCCACAATTTAAAAATAAAAAATAAAAAGAAAATTTAAAAAAAAAAAAGTAAAACTAAAAGGCCAAAAAAGTCACTACAAAATAAAAGGTGCATGTGTCGAGCAACTCTCAAATAACAACAAAGGACTTGCCAGCTTGCAATATTTAATCTGTCATCATCACTAGCTAATACCAAATCCTCTATAAAAACCCCCTCTACCAAATTCCAGTTTTGCAACAATGGCTCGTTTCATCTTCTTCCTCCTCCTCGCATCTCTCCTCCTCCTCCTCCTCAGCCTCTCAGTAGCTACCAGGCCCATACCAGGTTTGGACTTGGTGCGGTTGCCTTCATCGAGCCCGATGCATGTCGGTGCACCAGAGAGTTATCGCCAGTCGGAAAAGCATGATAAGTCGATCGCCGGCGGTGAGGTTATCATTGGGGGGTTGGCCACTGCAACTTTTGCTGCAGTGTTCGCCTACATTAGGGTCACTAGGAGGGCTGAATAGAAAATGTTGGTAGTTGTAGGGGGTTTGTTGTAAAAAGTTGATAATGTTATAGAGTTAGCTAGATATGGAGCAACAAATGGGGAATTAGCGTTTGGTACTTTGTTTAAGCTGATCGGTTTGTTCTATTTATATATATTCATAGAAATCATGACTTCAGTTTAGAAATGGGGGTATTTTTAAAAGAATTATTATTATACCCATTCTGTGGAGCGTTAAGTTATTTTTGAAGGAACTAATGAATAAATCATAGATTTTTTTTAATGTTCAAATGTGAAAAAGTCAATAGAATTTAAGAATCAAAATTTAACTCAAATGTTTTAAGCCATTAGAGATTGATTAATCCCAACTTTTATCTTTATTCACATATGTTTCTTATTATTTTCAATGCCGAACTATACTCAAATATGAAGAAGATATTTAGTTAAATTAATAGCTTATGCATGAAATTTCTGGCTTAATTAATGATGTGAAGTTCCTCTAAGCTTATGTGATTATGGTGAAGAATGAGTTGTAATTTTGTACGATCAGCATGCTTCACAATATCCACATATATATACGTTTGTCTGATGATTGACTATAAACTTTGTTAACTTCTAATTCTCATCACCACTTCAAAATTTTAGCTAGTGAAAATGAATTTACAACTCATTTAAAAAAGAATAACAGTTCTCAATTCAGGCTTCAATCGATAGAATAAGCACTTAACCTGCTGGAACATACGGGACTAGAAAATTATAATCCTTACGATAACTTTGAATGCTATCAAAATGATTAAGGAGTGAATGTTGTGTTTTTATCCTCTCGACATAAATTCCATAAATCCAAGTTTATATAGGGGTGGTTGTAATTGATTGATGACTCTATAATCTTCTTGGTTAATTTTTTTTTAAAGGAACTAGTTTCAGGCCCGTGCGATGCACGGATTTGTTTAATATACAAAAATTGATGTAGCAAAAAGAGTACAAATAGTTCAAACAGTTTATGAAGCATTCAAACAGTTTACGAAGCATCTTGTTTGGAAAATTGAAAAGACAGGGAGAGTTAGTTCAAACCTCAAGGAGGACTTTTTATTTTTTATTTTTTATTTCAAATTTAATATGAAGAACTTTTGTAGAAACTTGACAAGTGGCACTTGCGAGAAGATAGCAATTGATATGTTTGCCAAGTGTTGTTTAAAATGGTATGTGTCATTTTTGCCAAGTGGCATTTTTGTCAAGTGGCGAATTGAAAGGTAACAACTTTTAGTAATCTACTTCTTTATTACTAAAGGAGAACAACAGAAAAGTGTTAATGAACAGTAAAATTTATCATTATCCACGTATTTCACTTCATTTTTTTATTTATTCTGCTAACATAAAAACTTCCTAAATAAACCACCCCACCCCCTCATACCGCCCACGTTCCTAAATAAACCACCCCACTTCATTTTTGCAGTTGCCCACCAATTCCCCATCCTCAACTCTCCCATTCGAATCAAGAACTCCTCCCTCGACCTTTCCATCTTCAACAATCTTCTCCATGTCCTTCTTGCTTCCCATTCGAATCAAGAACTCCTCCCTCGACCTTTCCATCTTCAACAATCTTCTCCATGTCCTTCTTGCTGTGTCGATGGCGGTGATGGCGATGGCACTGATGATGGTGTGAGCATGTAAAGTGCCAAGTAGGCGAAATTATAGGGTATTCAAGTGCAATTGAGCCTTTTTTTGGGCCCAAAAACAAGTGCTTAGAGTTACATAGCGTGGTCGTTCCCCAACCTTCGTCTCCCAGCCAAGAAGTCTCCAATCAAGGTATTCACCTCGAACCTCTCGCTCTCGCTCGCTCATCTTCTCAGGGCTTTTTTCCCCCTTCTTCTCACTCCTTTCTCCTCTTTTCATGAATTTATTGTAAAAAAAAAAAGTTTTGCCCTAATTTGTATGTTTTCGTCATATTTTTTGCCTTAATTTGTGTCAATTACATTTTTGCTCTGGAGTTTCTCCTCCCCTCACATCCTGCTCCATTTTACACCTCTTTTTTTATTGCATTTTTTAATAATCTTATTCTAAATGCGTAAAATTAATCATTTTTGCTATCACATTGAATATGTTTTAAACTTACCCAAATAAGAATTGATTGATTTTACAAGGTAAATGAATGTCAAGAAATGAAACTGACCTCATATGCGATTCGAGCCTGGTAACAATGAATGAATAATATTTTTTTTATTTTTTTGACTTTTTAGGATATTAATTGTAGCCTTAGGAATCATGATGGGTTCGCTAAGTTGTTGCATGCACTTTTTGTGATGGGAAATGAGAGACCCTTTAGCTGTGATTATGCCTCTTTGAACATGCAAGGCAAAAACATGAGTACTTTCAATGTGAATATGTGGTTAAGCATGATTACTGCCCTATTTATTATGCATCTTTGTTTACTATGACAAAGTTTGTTGAGTTATTTTATGATGCCTCTTCGGTTGTTGTGGTGGATATAATGGATTGTGATCCTCTACTCATCAATAGTAACTCCTAACATTTGCTAATGCATCTCCACCTTTCATAACATGCTCTTTTCCAGCTTCAAAAAGTTCTCTGTTTTTGACATTCTTAAGTCACTCAACATTTTGAAACTCAATCAAAATTAAATTTGTTTTAAAACAAACCTCTGGAAGGAAGTAAGGAGTTGTACTTAAGAATATAATTTTCACTTTGATATATTTACTCTTCATGCAATTTGAAATGTTGGTATCTTTATGTATTGATCTAAGAAGTTGTGATGCAGGGTGAAGGTTTTAGTTTCCATTCTGAGACGTTGGTATCTTTATGTATTGATCTAAGAAGTTGTGATGCAGGGTGAAGGTTTTAGTTTCCATTCTGAGACATTTCAGCAAGCATGTTTCTGGCATTTTTCGATGCAGGGTGAAGGTTTTAGTTTCCATTCTGAGACATTTCAGCAAGCATGTTTCTGGCATTTTTCCCCCCAGGTAAATCTAACAGGTTTGACATTATTTATGGGAAATCAGAGAGTTTTAAGAATGTGTGGAGAAAACAGCAACCCAACAGCAAATTAAGAAGGCATATTACAAGTTGGCCTTGCTGCTTCATCCAGATAAGAATCCTGGTGATATTGTGCTTACTGATTTATTTTGTATTAGTCATTTCTTATGCTATAAGCGACCTAGCCATATGGACTGTTCTTTAACTTCATTTGTTTCTTTATATGCCAAGAAGCTAAGTAAAAATTTCAGCTGCTGCAGAAGGTGATTTAAATTCTTGGAGATGAGGAGAAAATGGCAATTTATGATCAGATTGGTCGTGTTGATGATGAGGTGAATATGAGAAAGATTCGGTACCAACCAGTGTACTTTTTATATTCTAGGAAAATTTTAACAAATCTATCCAACATATCAAATTTGATCATCGAAATTATCTGTTCAAATAGTTAAATAGTATGTTCAATTACAGCTGAAACAACATGAAACAAATGAAATTTGTCCATAAATTTTGATTTGGAATCTTTGTGGTTGTTATTTGTTTAATTCAAATATATTTGTTTAATTCATAAATTTTGATTATGACTCTTAGTTGTCAATAGATGGGATTAAGAATTTACCAACAATATCATGTAGTTGATTAAACCGTTTGGGCAGAGTTTAGTCCAAACGTTTATAACCGTTTGGACAAACTTTGTCCAAACGGTTATTTAGTCTTCATTCCATGCCACCCGATCATAGTTTATTCGAACTTTACATAGCATATGGATGTATTCTGTCTTCATTTCATTCTTAACATAATATAATATTTGAATGTTCAAAACTTTAACAACAAAGGGCGGACTATATTTGCATCAAATATGTAATTATATCAAAACAAATATCTTAGCAATGCACAATTAATCTCTTAAGACATACATTTACTTCAATTCTTATATACAATACAATTGTCTCTTATTTTGCAATTGGACAGACAGATGAGGTTAGGTGTAAAAACCTTCTTCTGTCCCACATCTCATGGCCCTTAGCTTGAGATCACTACCAATGTATCCTTCTGTCATGGTAGCCAGTTCCTTATAGTCGAGCCCTTCGTCTACCTTTTCATTTGACAGCAATGTCTTCAAAATCAGTTCCCTGTTCTCTGTCGATGGCAGGCCAACTATTATTCTGCTCAAATAAAGACATGTTTGAGATATAAAAAATATATAGATAAACTTTTATCCTAAAATGACCAAAAAAAAAATCTCAGACTGATGAAAATATCAGCAATCAAATTATTATTTCATACAGCAATCTCTCATTCATCCAGTCCTTAGAATCTGACAATTTTGTAAATCAATAATTGATAAAAAATTAAATATACCAATCTATTTAATCTAACAATCAAATATATCTTTATATTATAAATGGTTTAAACTTATATTGGAAATAAGAGTTACAATACAAAAATACAAATGACAAATTTCAATCAATCTAACAATCAATATTTCTGTAATTTTCAAATGTACTTTAAAGGAAATGGAATAATCTCAGTATCTATAAACTAATTGCCTTACTATGTATCTATTCGGCAGTGCAACATCGTGTTTTCAAAGTACTGATCAAGATCTCAGAGTCCGAGAGGATGTCATCAATATAAGTCTATTAGCAAATTAATATTCTCTAAAACCTATCATGTTAAATTAATCCAGTATTTTTGTGAGTCAATATGATATCTCCTTATCAGAGCCCAATTATTTATCACTCTTTTTCATTTGTCCATCTGAGTTAAGCTGAAGTAGGTTGTTATAATGTCCACAAATACCTATCTATGTTAAGTAAGTTGTTATAATATTCATAAGTATGTTTAAGATAAATTTATCGTGCAAAAATAAATAAAATGAGATGAGGAAAAGTTGCACACAAAAATAAGGTTCAAAGATGCCGTGCTTAGCACGGGTTGAATACTAGTAGTATATAGATTCTAAGGACTTCAAAGTTAAAACATGTGCCATATCCTTCACGCATCAGTCCTGCCTACAAATCTACAATCTCTCTTGGGAGCACACGCTTTTGGTCCGAGCAATGGGCTGCACATGGCCTTGTCCGTTATCTACCGCTCAACGCTGAATCCGATCCATATTTGATTATTTTCTTCACATTTATAGAAACATGGATCAATGAGAGCGATGCAAGGAACTAATAATATTGGATGCCTCTACTCTACACACGAATGATATCTTAGTTCATTGAATTTGAGGACGACATTCTCTTGGGGCATTAAATTCTTTTGGCGCATTGATTTGTTGCAAGAATTTGGTACATGTTGCTTTCTTTTGCTACTAAGGGCTTGTTGGTTTGTTTTCTAAAAACCAAGAAATGGAAATGGAAATGGTGAAAATCTCAAAACTCACCATTTCCTCCATTTCCATCCCTAAAACTCACCCACAACATCCAATAAAATATTATTTCCATCCAACAACTCATCCACATCATCTAATAAAATATGATTTTCATCTAACCACTCATCCATCACATCTAATAAAATATTATTTTCATCTAACAACTCATCCATCACATCTAATAAAATATTATTTTCATCCAAACATCACTCAACTCATCTCTTCTCATCATTTCAAATCACTCACATCATCCAATAAAATATTATAACAATTCACCTCATCTCATTAACATTTCATTTCTTCATTTTCATCCCAAAAAGTTATGAAAACACTTTTCTTAATCTTTCTTCACATCACCCAATAATACAATGACAACTTATCTCATCTCATTTCATTTCTTATTTTTAAGAATGAATCGAACAAAAGAAAACAAGAAACTACAGGAAATAGGTTTCTTATAATTCATTTCCTTTTTTTTTTCGCCAACCGAACACTCCAAAACTAGTTTTCTTAAAAAATCACAAACATCATCCAATAATAAGGTGACAACTAACATCATTTCAATTTTATTTCTTTGATTTCCTTCTTTTTTAGCCAACCAAACACTCCAAAAACAATTCTTTATTTTAATAGTTTTCCATTTCTTTGATTTCCCTTTTTTTTAGGCAAACGAACAGGCCCTAAACGAAAACCCCAAGGAAAATACAAAGATGGTACAAAAAACTAATAAAAGATGTAAACCCAATAAACCCAACTCCCCACAAGGATCACCAGAATTCCTCCTATTCTTTGCCATTGAATTTAACATTTATTTTTTTTAAAAGGGATAATATTTTGGTGAACATGCCCATTAGCATTTCAATACAAGACCCACCTTGCCCTAGACCAAGTGCAATGGCTAACAATTGGGACAATTATTTGGTGCAATGGCTAAGCAAGTGGATAGGCAAATGAAAAGTAGGGGAGAGAAAAGGCAAAATTTGCCTACCGGTTAAATTTCACCAAGGGCCCCGCGTGTCAGCAAGTGGAGGAAAGATAAAGTGAAAAACTTTTGAAAAACTAGTTGTTGTGGAGTTGAAAGGCAATTGGAAAAGACAAGTGATGTGGAGGGAGAATAAAGTGAGGTGGAAGGAGAGAGAAAGGCAATATTTGCCTTGCCATTGGAGATGGTAAGAGCAAACATCTGTATATTTGTCCATGTAAGGGCCCAGGTCCAAGACCA